CGTGCCGTGCCGTGCCGTGCCGTGCCGTGCCGTGCCGTGCCGTGCCGTGCCGAATCAAGCCGGACCAACAACAGCCGCGCCACAGCATGGCTCGGCGCCGCTCCTCTATCCCATGTCATGTTGTCGTCTGCCACGCGTTTGATAACTGCCACCTTCGTCCGTGCGTGCGTACGTGACGCGCCCTTACGCGTCTTCTCTCGCGGACGATCTTGCCAACAATTTCCGGTGACGCGTATTTTCACTTCATCCGATCAATTGTTACTCGCGTTTCATCTTTTTCCTTCCGACCTGCCGAATCGGTTGTACTATTTTACAATAATGCATGAATTGCGAGTAGTAATGTTCATAGTATCGTTCATAGTATTGTTAATTTACAAGTGAATCTGACGTGAACGAGGTGAACTATTTGAGATAGTGTCCAATGGAGACCGCGAAGAAGACCGGTTGATCCATGGGTCACGGAATCGTCATGATCGAAAGTTTGGAATACTACATGGAGTACATAAGTATAATGTGATATGCATTTTCTAGTTGTATTCATTTTATGTATTCTTGTTCATTCGTTATTATGCTTTTATACTGTAGATTTTATATCAGATTTATTATCGTACATTTCAAAGACTTCATATCAAATAAAAATGATGTGATATTTTTATTTGAATATATGATATAATTACAGAGAGAGATTTAACAAATGTTTTCAGAAGCTATATGAAAAAGAACTTTAAATAATATTTGATCTTTCTTAATAACAATAATCAAACTTTCACATAAATATTTGTATGCACTGACGACAATATAATCTTCATATTTTGTATCAGTGATTCACATTAATTATTATTATGCATTTATTAAACTAAAGAAGAGTGTACGAATTCTTAATTCGCATGCAAAGTTTGGATTAAAATCTCTAATCATCATTATCCATCATTTTATCTTGTCTAAAAATTTTTTTATCTCTTTCGTTCAATCATATAATCTGATGAGTATGGTAAACTATATAAATCTAAAGTGAATCTCTAAGATTGAATGGAATTAATGGGATTATACATGGCTTGAAATAATGCCTTTCTATCAAAAATTGAAATGCACGCTCGTTATGAGCTTGCTTTACTCGCTCACTGTAAGTTCGCTCATTCATTTATACCATTTGACATTACTGTCAAATATCTCTTTTGCATATATACTTATATAAAAGGCTCTTTTGTCAATTGATATGCCGTAGATTCGAATTTTCTAATTTCCGTACTGATATCGAGTGGACATCTTTCAGTTTCTCTGTCACCTTTTGAAACTGCATTTACTTTACTATCGATAAAAAATGGATTTAAGTATTTTATAGAAAAGAAAAACAAACGCTTTGCGCTAAGCTATACCTATGTCTACCTACATTCTCTACCCACGATCTCATTTGAATTTTCATTGACGTCATCGTAATTACGTACTATCTACACACAAGTATCCTGAAGCATAAATAATTAATTGATTCTGATAGTTATTTTTTCTAATTTTTCGAAAATATCTCTGTCCTTCTCACGTGAACAAAGAATGCGTCAATGCTTTGTCTCGATAATGTCATAACTTAGAGGAATTTACTTAAGTAACTATAAACTTAGATAAGATAAACTTCTGACAGAATTTAAGCAGAGAGATTTAATTTTTTTCTTATTAACAAAAAAAATGAAATTCTCGATATTCTTCGATATTTTTTTCAAGATATTACCGAATCAAATTTTTACTTTAACTTGTCAAGTCAATGTGAATATGTTATTTCTTGAATTCACATTGCAAATATATTAAATATATAGAAATTATCTAAAATTCTTTCTAATCAATATAACATAGTATTGAAGTAATATATATAAATCTATGAGAATTATTAGTAATGAAGAAAATAAAAAGTTTCAAATCAGAATAAGATTGAAAATTTATTCTATAATGTATTGGGGTTATAGAATAGGTATACCTATTCTACAATATTCAGACAATGCAGAGTAATTTATTTCTTAACTGTTCTAGATTTAACTAAAATATTTGTTATTCAAGGAAGTAAAAATATTTTCTTTGAAATACAACTGTATGTGTATAAGAAATTAAAACTTTTCCATTACTTTCTTATATAAATTAGTATTGTTTTTATTACAGTACTTGAGAAAAAAAAGATTGAAAAACGCATGTGTCATAAATCTATGACAAATATATTCAATGCTTTCAATGAAATCACAATATTGTACAAAAGACTTTATTTCTTTTCTTAAATATTTGTTTTGAAACTTGTTTAAAAGTGTCGTGATAAATTTTGTTATTGTCGAACTTACGTCAATTCTAAAAGCGTCGAAAATAAAAATGCTTATCGAGATTTTATTCTTTTTTTAAAGATATTTATTCTCCAGATTCTCTCTAGCTAAACTCGCTATTAAAATATACAATCAAAAAATTAATAAATGTCGAAGAATTGCAGTTATTAATATTTCGAATAAATTCGAAAGAATAGAAAATAATAAATGTTATAACTATCTTCGTCTCTTGTAAAAAAATGCAAAAACGAAAATTTATGTGAAGCGCATTGAGAGCTGCTAAAAAACATTTATGACAATGAATAGCCACGTCATTTTGCTCTCTCTCTGATCGATCCCGTCGGCGTCCTCCGACATGGCGTCCATTAGCCGACGGGGAGTAACCGACGCAACGGTCACACTAGATAACATGTATTATATTTCTTTTAACTATCCTTTCTATACTTATATAATTGTTACAATTAAAATTGCATGATACGTACTAGAAATTATTTTGGCATATTACGGAATTAATCCGCTCACAGCGTATAGCATTACGAAAAAAGATCTGAAATAAAGATAAGAAAATATGCAGATGTATAAAATTTATTTCATATTCTTCTTTACAAGAAAATTCAATAGAAAAGATTTTTATGGAATTAATTATGCCTTCCTCCAAATAGTCTTGAGAATTATCTTACTGTATCTCGGTAATCAGGTCTTTTTTATGTTTTATGGTCGTATACCTGGTACGTAAACGGTCTGATCCTATATCTTATACCTGATTTTTTTATGAGTGAGCCTATTACATTGAAGACAAAGAGTTACCGACAAAGAGTTTCCCGACAATATGTTCGTTGAAACTATTTCGTTGACATCAAAATTCAGCGGCAATATTGGTATGTTCGCAGACGTTTGCATCGACAAATGCATTTTATTTTTATCAGAAATTTTCGGTCATTGAAAACAAAACTCCCGCAAAATAGGTAAAATTCCATCGTTACAAAGAGGACGAATTAATTGCGAACTTAAAAGCGAATATGCAACGAAGATAAAAACGTAGAGTGTAAGTAGAAATAATACTTATGCTTTTTAAATGGAAATATTTGAGAGATATTATCTAAAGATGTGCTTTGCTAACGGTACACAAAAGTTAGTAAATGTATATGTGGGTCAATGTTTATGTCAGTGAATGTACATACTACTGGCTAGACATGGTCTCGACGAGATAATGTCAATGAAAGCATTGTCGGCAAAATCTTTATCGATGATTTCAATGTAAACTCCTTGTTTATAGGCTATTTTTTCGTATAATTAATATATATAATATAGCTTTGAAGTATTCAGTTTTTTCAGAAAATGTTACAGAAAAATCAAAGAACTTCCTATACCATAAGAATTATAATTTTGTACAGAAACTTGTTTTAGTGAAATACATTAAAAAAGGTTGATTTATTAATTCTGTAATTCGATTTCGACAACATTATGAACTAATAGATAACATCCCCTTAT